GACATGGTTTAGTGGGCATGGTGGTGTTGGGTTGATGGTTGGACTGGATGATCCTAGAGGTCTTTTCCAACCTTAATGATTCTATGATTCTATGATAAGTTAGTGAAGGACAGGCGCAAGGGCAGAGCAGTAACAAGAGAGAAAATGGTCCAGATATAACTCAGATTTGCAGTCTTGGACTGTATGGATTATACTGTTAAATGCTGATTACTTCATAGAAGTTATATTTTTATGCTAAGTGTTTCATAGCAAAGCTCTAAGCAGTTGCTCCTTTAAGTACTTTTGTACTGGAAAGCAGTATCTAAAAGCCTTGTGATTTCTCAGTTGCTGTCCTGAAAAGTCAGGGAAGAAATGCGCTGTGCTACAACACGAGGTATGAGCCAGTTAGACACTTTCTGCTGGCGAAGGGACTGTTGTTGCCGAGGTCAGTGATCCCTCTAATGAACGCAAGTGGAATGACGTACAGAACATGCATATCCCGCTACATGCGTAGCTCTGTTACTGTGTGTCTGCCATGTTCCATGAAAATCAGGTGGAAAGGAGGAAACGTCAATTTAAGGACCTCTTCCATTTCTTTTTGTTAGGCACTTGAAAAGCATCATAAATATTTAATTTTCACACATCTTGAATTGTATAGTGTCTTGAGTCTCTCAAGTTATTCGGAATGAATTATTGAACCATTTTTAATATTAGAAGCAGTTCACTGAAAAAAAAACCCAACAAAATTTAAAGGCACTGGCCATGAGAGACCTACCACTGATTGGGTTTGTGCATCCAGCACACTTTTTGGCGTAGAGGTTGCAGAAGCAGCTCAGGCAATATGCGAACTCATCCCTGGAGGTGAAGCGTTGTCCAGACAACTGCTTCTTGCATCCAGTACAAACGAAGCACTCCTTATGCCACGGCTGCTCCCGGTAAGTAACGCCTCCTGTAGTGATAGCCTGTTTTATGGAAAGTAAGACAGAAAGTGTTTTCTTGAGGGTGGCAGGTTTGTATCCTGATTTGGTAGAGAGGAAGGGTGATGAGGTTTTTGTGGGTGGGAGGAAGGAAAGAACGCGTAACAGCAGCAAAATCTTCATTTTGGCTGGAGTTGACCATGAGAAAAGCATGCAAGTGATTTATTATAATTTCCTAATTTATACAAAGAAGCCCCATAGTA